TACTTAGTAGAATGTTGAGAAATAATCAAATGTTTTTTTGTAGTTTTGGTATAAGTGATCTATGGAGAGAGTTGCTTTTAAGATGAAATGAATGCCAAAAACTTACTTTAACTTATCTATTAAAAGTTAATCTAAAATATACATATAACTATATTATTAATTCTGCAAAATTTTTGAGTTTTTAGCAGATTGAGGAAGAAACCAATAAGAAACTAATAAAGTTATTTAATAATAACCACTTGCCCTCTTTTACACTGCATTTACATGAAAATACATTACATTTTAGTGTCTCAAATGAGCAAGAACTGTTAGAAATTCTTGCAGATCATGCAAATAACCCAGACTACAATTATGCTTATAATTTTTTTAGATAATTCAGAAAAAAAACTTTTAGAAATTCCAATAGCAAACCAATATTTCAACATTTAGAAATAGTTGTTGAAAATTATAATGCCAATCATGTTAAAAAAAAAAATTATAATAATTTAGACTGCAGAAAAGCTATACTACAAAAATATGATATGCTTACTGGAACATCTTTTATTCTTTGCATTATAATGGGTCTTATGCATCATGTATATAAGAAGATTTTTCAAGCAAGCAAACTGTATTACATAGATGTATTAGTATCTTTTGATCCTCTTAATATCTCTATAACACTTTTATATACTAGTTATGCAGCTAATACACTTCTTTTTAGGCTATTCATTATATCAAATAAACTCAAAATTATATTAGAAAAAGTGGTATATAATTTTATTTTATAAAATTATTATGATTACAAATTTATATTACAAATTTATATTCTTATTTATTATTTATTTATTTATTTATTTTTTTTATCTAGCTAAATTTACTTAAAATGATTCTTTTACTGAATGCTTTCTATGGGTGTAACTCACAAATTGGGCTGATGATTTTTTTAATTATAACTTCAGTATGGAATATAATTTCTTGGAGCTTTGTTGACCAAAAAGTAACCTAAATATTTAAAAGATTTTGTTTAGTAATTTATACAAAATTATCTTTTAATTACCTACTATGTAGGGATTCATCTTTTATACATGTTTCATTTTCTGTAAGCATTCTGAAGGTGGCTTTACAATTCAAATCATAAAATTAATAAAAATAACTAAGCTCTTATTATGAAAAAAATAAAAAGGATTTTATATGTATCATTAGTTTCAGAAATAGATATTCATTATAAGGGACTTAAGCAAAACTTTTTTTATAAATATCTGCAGTTATAAAACTATTTCGAACTATTATGAGAATATCAACAGTCTTGAGCACTATTATTCTGCTTAAGTTTAACAATAAGTAGAAACAATATAAATAATTATATTAAATGAAGTTTCAGTATAATGAAAGATATTGTATTTGTAAGAACTCAAGCCTATAATCATACATAGGTGTTTTAGTTTATAATTATAAACATGAAAGTTTTACAAATGAATTGCATATAAACATTTAAGAATTTTATACATTATAAGAAGGTTTTTGTGTTCTGTCTAAAAAACTATAAATGTGAATAATATTCAGCAAACTAATATAAAAAATGAATTTCTAGTATAAAGAATAATAACATAGTTTATATAGTGAATAACAAGATTGGTGCTTGCTTCTGTCCCATTAGAATGCCTGACACCTCTTGCAAACATCAAAAAATCATTTCTATAAAATTTCATATTTCAATAGTTAATTTCTTTCTGTCTTTAATATTAAACAATTATAAGATTTATGTCTACATAGTGCTTAATATATACAAATTAATAAATTCTGTTATTATTCAGTTTATTTATTTTTATTTTTATTTTTTTTAGGTTATATTGCTAAAAACAAGTCTTTTTATATGTCATTATGCCCACAATCTATATCACAAATTTAAGAAACTTCATATACTAAAATAGAAATACCAAATAGTAGTTCAATTATTAAGTGAACCAAAAAAATTTTTTAATATTATTTAGTTAAAACAAAGCATGAACATAAATTTTCATGATTTTAATTTTTTTTTTTTTTAAAGAACCTTGAGAACTAAATGATAAGGAAAAATAAAGTTGAGACATTTGATATTTCTGAATTTTTTTTATTTTTAGAAATTGTTAATTCTGATTATCAAAATACTAGACCAACATTATGAATCATATTGGATAAATTTAAAGATCATTATATTGCAGCAAGAATAAAATCTATCTTCTAATTATTCTCTTTTCTTTATGATCTTAATCATGATTTGAATCCAACAATTCATGTTAAAAGTGGTTCCCATATACGAGTTCAAGTTGAGTCAATCAAGTAATGAAAAAACAAAAGGAAATGACACCAAGCAGAGGTTTCCAATATCTAAAAATAAAGTAAAAGAGAATTTAGATTCTCAAGAAATCCCTGTTCAAAAAAAAAAGAAAATAGAAAAAAAGGAACATAACTTAAGCAAGAATGTATTGAAAAATCAACTCAACTGAAGTATAAAAGTTATTGTTGTTAAGGAGTTTTTGTTCTTAGTACATTTGTAACAAACGTTTATTATTGTTTTTTTTCATTTATTTTGCATTTGTACCTTCGTTTATATTTATATATATATTAATTAATAAATAAAGGGTATTGCTATTCGCACCATAGGCTTTTGCTATTCGCACTATGGTGACTAACTTTATAAAAACCCGCTTACCCTAACTCTAACTAATTCTGGTCATGACCTACATACTATGGTACGAATAGCAAAAATCCATGGTGCGAATAGCGGTCTCCTAAATAAATTTATTATCTTATTTTAAATCATGAATATATTGTTAATTTTCGTTAAGTTTACATTTATAAATTTGATACATTTATTATCATTATTTTAAATCGTTAATATATTCTGGGATCGATCCAAGGGGTACAGTCGGACAGGTAATTGACGTGCCACCTGATCAACTAATCAGATTATAAGATCGGGTGTAATATGAAATCGAAAGAAAATAATGATTTTTCTAAAAATCATGTTCAATCATTATGATTAATTAAATCAAATGATCCTTGCAACGAATTTTTCAAAAATTCATTTAATTTTATTTTGATCCGGGTTAAAATGACCCAACAGGGGTATTTTTAAATTATATTATATAAACTATTATAGAGTCTATAATAGTTTGTATTATGCAACACGAATATATCCCTTGTTAGGTTATTTTGACCTGGGGTCAAAATAGAATTTGTTTTTGTGGAATGCGGATTTGAAATTTCAGCCAATCAAAAGCTTCATAAAAAAAGATGACTGTTGTTTTTTTGACCGAAACAGAAATGATTAAATAAAATCTATTTTTCCAGCCAATTAGATCATTTTATCGACCATAAAGGAAGGTGATTCAATTTTTGCCACCATCAAGATCTTAATACGTATGTGGTGAAACATGTAAAGTTGCCAAGAAAACTGGTCAATTGCATAAGGATTATGCGTAACATACTACCAAGCCAATTAAATGTAGTTGATCTACGTCCCAAATTTATTAAACTCTTAAATTTAAACAGAGTTTCGTAGAATCACGTAAACCGATTTTCTTACTTTTTTTTTTTTTTTTTTAAAAAAAAAAAAAAATGGGCTCTTCAACCTCAAAGGTGAAATATCCTCATTTAGTAGTGTCAAATTTTCCAATCACCAATGATGGTGAAACTATTACTTTAAGTGATGGTAGATTACTGGGATATAAAGAATACAAATTTTTCCATACCCTTACCGACAATACAAAATCTCTACGTGGTCAAGAATTTGTGATTCTTTCGATACCTGGAACACCAGGTTCAAGATTTTTTACACATCCTTCATTATTGTCAAAGGAAAATGACAATAATCTTGACTCGGATGAGAATGATAATGAAAATAAAGCATTGATAAGATTAATTGTATTAGAAAGACCAGGAATCGGACTTTCTACATCTGCCAAAAGAAATTTTATTGATTTTTCTAATGATATAAAAGAACTTTGTCAACAAAAAAATATTAAAAAATTTTCTTTAATGGCTTATTCTGCAGGTGGCCCTTTTGGATTAGCCGCTGCTTACTCTTTAGGTAAACAAAATGATAATTTAAATGGTCCTACAATTAGTAAAGTCGCAATTATTAGTTCTGTTGCACCATATGATACCCCAAATGCGACAAATAAAATGGATTGGAAACTTAAATTTGCTTGGTAGGTAATTCTTATTTTATTATTTATATACATTTACTTTAATATCTTTTATAATATCTTTTATAATAATCATTTCATTCTTATTTTTACCTAAGGTGGTTAGCCAAAAATAGTCCAAGTATATTATCAATTGTAGCACACCTTGAAGCAAAGTTTGCATTAAAGAATCCAGTAAAAGCATCTTGTGAAATTCAATTACTTGGACCGTCAGCCGATAAAGAGGTGTATGAAAAATTTCCGGAAATTGAAGAATTATTTGTTAAAAGTATTTTGGAAATGTATACTAGAGGTCAAGTTGAAACTGCATGTTGGGAATATAGCCTATGGGGAAAGTATTGGGGCTTTAACTTGAAAGATATTGGGAAAGGAATAGATGGAAATCCAGGTGTTAGATGTAAAGTTTGGCATGGCGAAGAAGATTATGGATGCACTATCGATATGGGTAAATATATTGCTGACCAAATTGAAGGATGTGAAGCTTGTTTTGTTAAAAACTTGGGGCATATGTTATATTTTACAGCTTGGGATGATATTATTGATTGGTGCATTATGGATCAATAATTTCCAACTATATATTATAGTTATTTATATAACGACGTTTGTATGGAATCTTTAATATTTTAAAGTATTATTATCATTATTATTATAATAAATATTAATTTATTTGCTTATGTTATCTTGAGTTTGCAAAATTTTTTTTGATTGTATTTGTACAAAATAGTCTTTCACATTAGGAGCGGATTCTATTATATATTAGTCTATTTATTCATTGGTGAAAACGGCTGAAGCTGAAAATTGGGTCTATATTTAAAATATAATCACTGCTAAAATCCACATATACTCAATTCTAACCCTAAACACTAACTCAACTATAAAAAAAGCGGGGAAAAAATATTCCAAAAATTTTTAAAAATTCATATCAAGATAGGACCGAATTTCAGCATCAGCTGCGACAACCATTAATCAAGTCTAAAAAAGATTCTTAATTTTTAAAATCGGAGAGAATCGAATCTAGAACGATTATAAAAATTTTTTTTTTTAAATTGATTTTAATTAGCATAGCATTTTTGACCATAATATGATTATTCTTAGCACCCATGTTCTTAAAGTAATGCTGGCTGAATGCCAAATTTTGAAATCCGAGCAAATTTTTTTCATAATATATAATTCGCATGTGAAATAAATTTCTGAAAGGTAAATTTATTAATATTACCAATAAGCGACTATAACTAAGCAGTTAACTTTGATTATATTTATAAAATGATTTGATACAGTGATGTGACATGAGTGTGAATAACTATCGTCAACTCTTTTTATAATGAACTAATTATTCTTATGTTAGCAATTCCGTTATATGATAATTACTATGTTGAATACTTTAAAATTTATGATAAATCGGTACGTATAAAGTTTATTATACTGTATTGTGTATACATTGTAAAGGAGGGTCAGGTATTCTGGCGCACGTAAGAGTGCTAATAGTAAAACTTCTTTCTAAAATACATAATTCCAAAAATAAACTAATATTTGACTTAATAGATGTCGATTAACCAAAAAAAACTTTTAAATTTTTTTAAAAAACTCGACAGTCAACTTCTACAACTAAAACTTGTTATGCTTTCTTAGCTGGAGGTATTTGGCGCATTATGTATATCGATATTCAGTATTGGGTTAAGTATATGCAGATAACTTTTTTAGGTTATACATTGCTGTTCTTTTCTCTTTTTTCACGAATTGGTTCAGATAGAAAAAAAGATAATATAATGTAAGAGAATTACATAATAACGTCTAACCTTCCTTCAAGTTATGATCGAAATTGATTAATTTATGTATCGTTCGATTCATCTCAATAAAATGAATCGAATGGTACTAAAAATGGTTGATTCTGATCAGTGTGTCGCAAGATATCATAAAAAATGCAAGTGCGCCAAAATACACGACCCTCCCTTACGTAAGACTTGTTACCATTTTAACTGGGTAGTCAAAATTACTAGCAATTCAAGAAAAATATTCATAATATGCGCCAAAGATGTTTTTTTTTATATTACATAAATGGTAAAGGGCGAAATCTAAACCCGCAGAAGACGAAAGACAAAACTCCAGCGAGAGACGAAGCTCCCATCGAAATTCGAAACTTCAATCTAATGTCAACTCGTTTAATGTTGGGTAAAGATTGTGCCATTTTGGTGAATGAATATGGCTGTTGAGAACAGTATGTGGCTTATATAAAAGAAATGTACAAAAGCAATAAGAAAAGCTTAGCTTTTTGTTTGTATCCGAGTACTATTAAATAGGCTTTTGAATTTATAATTAAATTGTCTCAGCCTTGAAAATTAAAGCCCGAAGTCTTATTTTATTTTGTCAGTGCTTATCTCGTATTACAGTGCTAAATAAGCTTCCTTTTTTTTTAAGTAAATATTTGAGTAAACTTTATCAATCCTTCCCTTTTTTCGAGACAATTGAATCCGAATTTTCAGAAGGGTGTGTAAATAAGTGATTGGTCAATCGTTCGAGTTGACTGCAGTCAACATATCAAGAAGATAGCTAAGCAGGGGCATACAAAAAATACATCTACAGGTTGTGCAGGCCAGACCATCAGATTAAACCAGTACGCACATAACAATGGTCAATTTTGACCAAATCAGGCGTGCATATAAGGTGGTGTCGCTGAGAAAGCACAAGTATTTAGATAAGTACGTACGTATAATCGATTGCTAAATTTGGAGTTATTACTAATAATAGCTCTATTATCTGGTCGAATATAAAGATCGGCTCCCACAGATAGTTACCATCTCACCCAACAACCAAGAAGTAAGATTCATGCTATATAATTAATAATATCAACATTTTTAATCTTTTTATAAATTAAACCTAAATAACTATGCCTTAGTTTTAACTAATTTTTAATATAATTTAAATTAATCTTTAATATTGGAAAACTAACTAATTTCACCAATTTCACCAACAACAACTTTAACAAAAACCTTTTATTAATAATTCATTCATAATCCCGGCATTTTGTGGTATTTTTAAAAAAGGTTGTTACTCAATTCCCTGAATGTTATTTACTCGACATCACACAGGGTTAAGGTTAGCATTTGATTAGCTGCAGATATATATTTTTAGCAATCTGTCGCTCTTGTGATGTTGGGTAAGTGGGATAAATAACTTTCGAGAAATTGTACCGTAATCTTAAAAATTCATCACAAGTCGGTCTGCTTGATGACACCCGGCGCGATTTAGGAAGCACGTCCTGTCTCAGTTTGTACATCAATTGCTGCATATTTTAATAAAGGAATGTGAATTTACAAATAAGGGCCCGGAAAGTGAATGCGAACTCAAATTAATAATAATAAAAATACTAAATTACCGGATAATCATTGCAACATTTTGCACTCCGAAAAAAACGTGATCACGGAACTAATGTGTCACAAAGTAATATATTACCTCGAAATAACGCCTCAGGGTGTAGTTTAAATTTTGGCTCGAATTAAGCTTAATTCGGCCTAAATTAAGCTTACAGCGATGAGAATATTGTGATCATTAAAAATTAAGTGACACAAAGAATAATAAAATATATTGTGCAGCATCACAATACCAAATTATTAAGCAAACAAATAAAATGTTTAATTTAATCATGTTTTCATAATCGGGTTCATACGATTTCATAAGCAATTCATAACTCAGAAGACAATCAGCCGATTATACACCAATTTGACAAAATCTACCCACACATTCATAATTCCTGGGACATTTATCCAAATGATTTTTCGGCCGATCCGTTAAGCTATTATTTCGGGATATATAATAAATGAATACGGTACGGAAACGTAAATTGGGACGGACATTTGGAAATCATGATAGTGCGTACGGTTTGTAAAAGAAGAAATTCTTGAAACAAAGCTAATTTTCCTATAACCTCACACGAAAAAGAACAATTCTCGCACTTGGCCTAACCCTAAACATAAAAAAAGGGTTTACTTGTAAAGAATTAGGTCTCAACTTTTATTTGGCATGAGGATGTGACGAATCTTTGTGTGACGAGTAAGCATTGGCTAAATAATTATATTTAATAATGCTTATTAGCCACACCCAATGACTCGTCACATCCTTGAGCCAAATGGATAATGGGCTTATAAAAATTAATTTTACAAACCTATGTTAACCGTACGTACTATCAAAATTTTACTCAATTTTCGTACGCCTGTACATATTTGCACAGTCGTATAGTATTACTTTACTAACTACCTATTATTTCGGCATAATAGATTCAATAAAAATTGTTACATACGTACGTACATCGTATGGATCTTATGTAACAACCCTTGCAAAGTTTATTTTTTACAACCCGCACAAGATCAGGTATAACTGACGATCAAAACAATAATCGAGACACTGGAACCCAGTGATCATTACATCACGTGAAAGCACTACTGAATCTGTGAGACAGGTTATGTCGATCATTAAAAAAAAACCGAATAGCATTGTGAAAACAGAAAAATCGCAAATAACTCAAAATTATACTATGATAACCACAATCTAACTTCTAAATAAAAGTTTTCAGCACGAAATTTTAGGTATATAAGAACATTTTTAAATATCGAATATTAAGTAAATTAAAGCCTGCGCTAAGTTCTGACCTTTGTGCTCTTTTGATTTGGTAATCGACATAACCTGTCACAGATTCAGTACGTGCCACGTGAAATTGCAATGACGTCATTTGTTTACCAGCACTAATAATCGGCCGTTGATCATGTGATGTGATGATCACTGGGTTCGTGTTCTTAAAACTTCCCCAATAATCACTCTTGTTTGTAAAGTCACACCTTTGCAGGGACAGTGATATTCTGTGTTTAACATAATACCGCAGAATTTACAGAATTATGGCTAAATCACATAATATTGTTATATCACCACAGAATCTCACATAATTTAAGAATTTCGAGAAATCTACACATAATTCATGATTTTATCTGCAGTACTACCATTGTATTACAAGAAAAAAAAATACAATCGTTTGTTTCGTCATAATTTGAAAGCATGCATATATTCTTCACACTTCTATATCATATATATATACATATATTAAAGCCGTTTGCTTAAAAAGTAAAATGATGGGATTCATAGTTGTGTATAAAGGAAAAAGCTAATTATGTCAAAATTAGTAAGACTATATGTAAAAAAATAAAGTTATTTCATATATAGCCTTTAAATTCATACGAAAAAGAATAATTTTAAATTTCTAAGCTCTGATTACAATGAATTCTTTAATTCTTTTTAAAATTCATAGATGAATAGAAGATTGTGTGAGAGATAGTCTATCAAAATAGTGATCCAACATTTTTACTGATTATTAAAATAATTAATAGTAATATTATATTTATCACTATTAATCATTTTAATAATCAGTAAAAATGTCAGATCACTATTTTGATAGACCATCTCTTGTGTAAAAAATGTATAAATACATATTATCAATAAAATTTTCTTGAGATTATTAATAACTTATATGTTTTTTACTATTAATAATGATTAAAAAAATCAAATTACAATTAATATCT